AGCCCGCCCGCCCGCGGCGGAGAGCGGCGGAGCGGCCGCGGGGCCCGGGGCGGTGCTCGCTGGGGCCTGCCGGGGGCTGCGCCTCGGGGGCAGGAGCTGTGGGGAAAGAGGTGGTGCTGGCAAGTGGACGTGGCTTAAAAGAGCTTCGCTGTTTGTTCCCGTAGGAGAAGTGGGGAAACATCTGAAACCCTGGAACTGCACTGAAAGGTAAGTTAAAGTTAAGAATTCTCGTGACTGTGAGGTAGTTGCTCGGTTCCATTGAGTACCTGTCTCTGGGGAGCTCAGCTTCTTGCATGCCGTGGTTTTGTAATTATGAAATGTTGATTAGGTTACTATCTGGATAATAAAATTATTTTTTATGTTCCTCAAGGCTGAGTGCATCGTCCCCTTCTTTTGAAAAGAAAGAGGTAGATGTTAACTACTCAGTCAGTGCCTTATAAAGGCTTTAAATCATTCCTTGCTTGTAGATGATATGGTAATCCTGTTTCTATATAGCAGAATACAAACTCTGTTATGACAAATTCCGATACTCTTAAAATAATCAGAATAAACAGTGGTTTACAGCATGATGCTGGCAGAATTTTAGGACAGATTGTAGCAGTTTTGTGGTTGTTTTGGGGTTTGTTTGGGTTGTTTTTTTAATATCCTGATGTAAAGATACTTCTGTGTTTCAGGGTTTTTTTTTGTAGGGATATTGGGAATGCATGAGAAGAGTTCCAGGAGAAATGCCTTGTTATTAACAGTGAAACTGTTCTAAATAGAGTGCCATCTGTTTAATCCAGACTGCCGCTGTCTGGTTTCAGCATTTAGTGTTTTTCATTGTAAGATGAAGTCTGCAAGATTCAGAGCAGTCTCTTCTCTGCAGTTGCTTTGTCAGGATGAGAAGAGACACATTTGTTTTTCTGTAATGTATGTGGGGTGGGATTGCAGGAGTGCTCTTTATTTGTTAGGTATCTGGGAGTTAAATCTGTATCTCGGAGAGAATTAAGTTCTGCCAGATACCTGTGAAGTATTTCTTGTTTCTTATTATGGCTAAAAGTTAATGAGTATGTGTTTAAAGTCTGGTTTTGCTGAGGAATGTTGATATTTTCCTCAGGAAATTTTTTTTCAGTGACCCATAGACACTTTAGATATGTTTGGTTTATTTTTTGAAGTAAAAATATGAAGTCCTGGTTTTATTTGTTTTCTTTTGGTGATTTTGTTTAGTTCATGGTGTTTGGAAGCATGACTTGATTTTTTTTGTTGTTGTTGTTTTTTTTTAATGCATGAAGCCATGCTTTACTGATATCGCTCAGTCTACCAACATGAATGTTCAGTTCTAATCACGGAATATTGACTGTGTAACCTAGTGTGGACAAACAGAATCATAGCAGAGGAACGCGCTTAGCAAGATTAATCTTCACATATGCTGTTGCTTTCAAGGTTTAACAATGCTTTGGGTTGCTGTTTTACCCCACTCAAATACATAAAAACGCTTGATAGGAAGAACTGTGTGCAGCTGATAGATTCACTCTCTTATAAGGTTACTTAGTGTTTTGCTTCCTACATTTCCTTTGCTTTCAGCACGGATTGTGCTCTTTCTTTTCAAAATAACACTGCAAATATGAGGGATTTGATGTTTTGGGAATATGGGAAGCTTTTTAAAGCTGTATTTTCACTAAATAAGTGAATCTACATAATTTCAAGGGGGTTTACTGTCTTGCTACAACCTGTTTTGAGGAGGAAACTTCAGCATAATTACAGTTACAGTCTGAAGAAATTTATACTATGCACAGGGAACAAACATAAATAGAAGAAATTTTCATCTTGTGTAGAGAATGCTGGATGTCCTTTAGGAAGGGAAGGTCATTGGGACTCCATGTACAAATAATCAGTATTCTTTCTGTTGTTTATTCAGTTGCTTTTTTATAATAGTCGTGGTGGTGATAATTACTGAAAAGATGAAGTATTCTATGATATAGTTATGTTAGCATGTATCTAGCCGAGCAAGTTGCGATTTGCTGGGATTCCTGCTACTGTTGCTAGGTTAGAGGTAGGTGGCAGGATTTTCTTGAACAGCTTTCAAAAGCCCATGTTTCCAGAAAATTGTATTGATATGTGTTCTGGATTAACAGATTCTGAGATTCATTATGGGTACTGCTTTTCACTGCACGTACATATATTCTCTCTAGCACTGAACTGGGTTTAGTAGTATGCTCTTCATTATTGTTATCTGGGGTAGAGACTTGTGTGACTGACAGCAACTTAAAGTATTTTCAGTTTTGAGATGACAAAAAAGAGTTGTAGTGTTGTGGTGGTGGTGAGTGGGATTTTTGCTTTTTAGGTTATTTTAACTCAATAGCTTAATACATATGAAAACTATTTAAATACTACATCAGTTTGTTTTCTTTTTTTCATGAAATTGCAGATTACTTTCTCCAGCTTTGCATTAGTAATTTATAAGTCATTTGAAACCATTTGTCTTTTGAATAAAATGGTCAATCCTGCTTTAGTTACAGTATCAATGGAAAAGATCTTTCTTTAGTCCACCTTGGTTTCTTCAGATGTTTGTGTTTGTTGTTTTGTTTTTTTTAAAAAAAAAAAAAGACTTTAAAAGGTGGGGA